CTTCATCCCAATATTCTATTCTATTCTATTCTATTCTATTCTATTCTATTCTATTCTATTCTATTCTATGCGCTTAAAAACCGTGTACCGTGAACACGTCCTCCTGCCCAGAAGAGAAAACTTTGAGCAGAAGATTAAGATGGATGGGACGGTGGTTGAACTCCTCTATCGTGGCTTAGGGAACTAAGTAGACTAATTGGGGCTTAGCCCAATCTAGTCCAATCCTCCTAAGCAGAGAGGCCTGGTTTCACTTCACTTGTGAAAGCACCTTGACGTTTTGATCCCAGCTTGCCCCAGGAAAAGCCAGCCTGTTCAAAAGTTTGTTCTTGCTTAAGACAAAAATACCCCCCCCAAAAAAACCCCACAAGTTTCTTTCAATCTGATTCTGCTTTGAGGGCCACTCAGACACAACCTTCTCGCCAAAAACACACCTGAGTGGTTTGTCTTCAAACTTCTTCCAACATTTTTAAAGCCTTCTCCATTTGGCCTTACTGTGTCTCTAGATTATAAATATGTTTGTTGTTTTGTATCACAAATTCCATTTCTATATTGAACAGTGTGTTTTCTAAAGTGTCCGAAGGGTTAAAATATAAACACCATTATAATCATGCACCTACAAACATACAGTATATAAGATATCAATCATTGTTAAAAAGTATACTATCTGTATACTATTGACATTGATTATACAGCCATCAAAATATTTAACAATCAGTTCTTCTTTCTCATGTCAGATATCAAACAGATGAACAGAGTTGGAAGGGACCTCGTAGGTCATCTAGTCCAACCCCCCTGCCCAAGCAGGAGACCCTACCCAATTTCTGACAGATGGCAGTCCAGTCTCTTCTTGAAAGCTTCCAGTGATGAAGCTCCCACAACTTCTGAAGGCAACTTTTCTTCCATGGGTTGATTGTTCTCACTGTCAGAAAGTTTCTCCTTATTTCCAGGTTGAATCTCTCCTGGTTCAGTTTCCATCCATTATTCCTTGTCTGGCCTTCGGGTGCCTTGGAAAATAGCTTGACCTCCCATATTTCGCATAAATCCACTCCTCTAACCTCTGTTATCGATCAACTAGCCATTTGCAGAAAGGTCCCCGTGTTATAAAATATTCCGAATCTACTTTTTCTTTCATTTTTAGAGTTAACCTATCCATTTCTGCACAATCCAGAATCTTTTTGATTTATATTATCATCGGTAGGGGAGTTTCTCAATTTGTCCTTACTAATCTTTCAGTGGTCTCCCATGCCGCTTAAGCTTTTAAAGTTCGCTTAGGTCTCTTCCAAAGGGTGACTGAGCTTGTCTGGATCACGTTGCTAAGAAGAAAGTCCATGACACAGTTCAAGACAGAGACAGGAGTGCGTGTGTGTGTGTGTGTTTTAAATTTCCTCCTGCACTGGAAAATGCTGGAGGGAAGAAGATTCCCACTGTGTTTAAATCCCCTTACAGATTTTTTTTTTCAAACTTGCCAACTTTTAACACAGGGCGGACTTCAACTGACTCAAGAATCAGAATAACAGAGTTGGAAGGGACCTCAAAGGTCATTTAGTCTGACCCCTCCCCCCCAAGCAGGAGACCCTACACACAGACACAGACACACACCCTTTCCCAGAGTTCTCTGCCAGCGAGAGAATTAGGATGATCTTGGATGATCCCAGGGCTGCAGAATTAAAAAAAAGCTGGAGATCCCTGCAATCTAACCCCTCCTCTTCCTTCTCCTCTTCTTCCTCCTCCTTCCTCTTCCTTTCCCCCTTCCTCTTTCTCCTCTTCTTTTTCTTTTTCTTTTTCCTCCTCCTCCTCCCCCTCCCAATTTTAAGTGGAGGAGGGGTCCCGAATCCTGACCCCCCTTCACTTCCCCCATTTCCAACCCACCCCGGGCTTTTCAGTGCTTGGCCAACTCCAGGCTGCAATGCCCCCGGATCGCCGCTAGGTCGCGGCAAGAGGACAAATGCCTGCTCGCCTCCTTTCTCCAGCAGGTGGCCCCCGGACGACCACTGCAGGGCGGGGGGGGGGGAGTGAAGCTCATCTCGGGGGCAGGAAAGTCCTCCTGAGGTCTGTCTGTCTGTCTGTCTGTCCGTCCGTCCGTCCGTCCGTCCATCCATCCATCCATCCACCTATCTATGTAGCAGGGATGTTCCTCTTGCCCCCACTGCCATTCCCGCCCACTGGGGCTCCCCTCTTCCAGGGTGGGCAGGGGGGTTGGACTAGATGACCTTCAAGGTCCCTTCCAACTCTGATGATCTGGTTATCTAGCCACGCGGGGCGTCAGGTTGGACGCTTCCCACCCACCCACCCAACCCACCCACCCGTGTCCGCGAGCGCCCGGGACTCCTTCTACCTGGAAAGGAGGGTTTCCCCTCCCCCCCCCATCCACACACACACACGTGCAGCCTTACCCACGAGGAAGCCCACCGCCAGCGCCGCCCCGCCAGCCGCCGTGGCCCCCAGGAGGGTCTCGCGGGACAGGCCGAAGAAAGCCATACGCGCGCCCGAGCAGGTGGGAAGAAGAGGAAGCAGCGGCTCCGCGGGCAGATAAAAGTCTTTTCGGCCGCTTTCGCAAGACTCTCTGCCCGTCACGTGTTCCGGGCTGGCGAGCGGCCCCTGCAGGCGGCGCCTTGAACCCGGGGACTTTGAATTTAAGGCGGGACTGCATTTTAACCCCACCCCGCCCCCAGTTTGCGCAATGAGGACTAGTAAGCTGTGCCGCGGCGTTGACCAGGCTCTCGTGTGTGTGTGTGTGTGTGTGTGTGTGTGTTGTGTGTGTGTGTGTGCGCGCTGCGGGGTGGGGTGTAGGGGGGAAACCAGCCGAATCTGGGGTGCCCCGGACTGTCCTTGGGTCCAAAGGGGGAAGGGGAAGCAGCCCAGAAGAGGGCTGGTGGGTGGGATGTCCCGGTCTTATAAAAAGAACGCCTGAATGCAACTTTGTTATTTGTGGGATGCGAAGATACTTGGTGGCAAACTGGGTGTTTGTCCCTGAAGTTGCAGAAGTTGATAGCAGATAATCAAGAGTTGGAAAGGACTTGTTGGAAGAATTATCCTTCTGGGTTCAGGTCCAAGTGGAGGGAAGAAAGACACTGGAAACATGGAGGCTGTTTGGAAAGATGGTTTAATGGTGGACAGGACCACATGGCTTGGAGCTCCAAAGACGATCTCATGCTCCAAGATGTTGGGTGAAGGAAAAGAAGGGCTGATATGCTGAGAGACCTTTAATTATACGCCCTCTGTTGGGCCCCATCTTAGTGTTTCCTGTTCCTGTGTAAGAAATATATCCCATTGGCTGTCAGACTCCCAGGGGGTGGGGGTCTTAGCTAACTTTGTAGGCTTTGTCTGGACCACATGACTTCACCTGAGTGCTGGCTGATGCAATCTTCCCAGGCCTGGTGGAGAGATGGGTAGAGGCCTTTGTTATGCAGAATACTCTGGCCCAGACCCTAATGGCCCACCCAGTAACAAAGGGGTGTGTGTGTGGGTGTGTGTGGAGGTGAGGTTAAGCTTCTGCTTCTGAGGTGAGTTTCTGCTTCTGAGTTTCTACTCTTTTTAGGATAAATCTTCTGCCTTTTAAATATTTCCTAGGATATTTCATTTTTCTAAGAGACGGGTGGGTGCTAACTTTCTACAGGACCTTGTAGGTCATCTAGTCCAACCCCCTGCCCAAGCAGGAGACCCTACACCATTTGAGACAAGCGACTATCCAGTCTCTTCCTAAAAACCTCCATCGATGGAGCATCCGCAACTTCTGAAGGCAAGACGTTCCACTGGTTAATTGTTCTCCCATGTCAATTCCATGTTGCTTCTCTCTTTGATTAGTTTCCATCCATTGTTTCTTATCCTGCCTTCAGGTGCTTTGAAAAATAAGTGGACCCTCCCCCCTCTTTGTGGCAGCCCCTCAAATACTAGAATACTGCCATCATGTCACCCCTAATTCTTCTTTTCTTTAGACTAGCCAAACCCAAACCCTTTCAACCGTTCTTCCTGTGTTTTAGCCTCCAGGCCTTTAAACAATCTAATTGCTCTTCTTTGCACTTGTTCTGAAGTCTCAATATGTGGTTTGTTTTTTGTTTTGTAACGTGGTGACCAAAACTGGATGCCAAATATGGTTTCAGGAATTGGGCGTGTCTGGCCTAAAGAAGAGAAAGGACTAGGGGAGACATTATTTATTTGCACCTATTTCCTATATTCTTACTCATGTTTATACTTATACCTGTTATCTTGTAAGCGATTGACCAATCAAATAAATAAATAAAATAAATGATAGCAGGGGTCCGAAGTTTGAGGGGCTGCCAAGATGGGGATGAACATGTTCTCCAAAGCTTTGGTGGGCAGGATGAGAAGTAACTAAGGGAAGCGTATTGTTGAAAGGCTTTTAAAATACCTTTCTTCTGAGGATTCGATTTTCCTGCTGGGAGAGCTCCGGTGCAAGGATACAGACAACTGCTTGAAAGCTGGTTCTTTTTATTTTTCAGGAAGGCGAGAGATAGCAAGAAGTCTGCGTTCCTGGGGCTAGCTAGCTTTGTATGATAAGCCCCTGATTTTTATACCCTTTTTTCTCATTTTGTGTGTGTGTGCTTGTGTTTGTATTTCTTAATGTTTTAAATCCTGTCAGGGGTTGTCTTCATTTCCGCTGGAGGGTAAACTCCGCGGGGTGGTTTGATTGGATTATCAGTTTCGTCCTAATGTTTTCTTATATTTGTTTTGTGGCAATCTCCTGTCTGTCTCCTTTGCAATATATTTTGTGTCTTTTGTTTGTTTTGCTGATTTGGAAGGGTTTTCTTTTCTTGTTTCCCTAGTTTTCTTAATTATTTGGCTTTTGTCTAGGGGGCTTCTTTCAATACCTTTTATTAAATCTCTTTTCCTATGCAAGTTTGTTTTATGGCTGGCCTGATGTTC